ATTTGGCTAATGTCATAAACACCCTCAAGTTTCCAAGCTTTTGTCGGTTTTGTCCAAAGTTGAATTTTATGTCCATTTATGCCTCACATTTGAATTAATTTTGTCATTTTTGCCCTTCTATAAGGTTTTCCGGTCACTAGGTGCTTGTGTGGAGGTAAGTGTTGACGTGACAGCTGGTTTTCCGGTCACTAGGTGCTTGTGTGGAGGTAAGTGTTGATGTGGCAGCTGACATGGAGTGTCACGCCAACTTTGTATTTGTATAGGAAAAACAATGCTTTGAAGTGAAGAAATGTATGAAGTGAGACTCGAACTCGGGCCACAAGAAACAAAATGCATTATTATTATTATTATTGTTATTATTATTATTATTATTATTATTATTATAACAAATATAACTGATGCATTATTATTATTATTATTATTGTTGTTGTTATACGTATTTTGTAGTTATATATGCACTTAAAATACATATTATTTCGTATAAACACCCAACATTATAATATAAATATAAAATAGATACATATACACCTATTACATATGTTTAAATACCTAATAAATACATTCAATAATATATTTATTTTGTATAAAAACACATTATATACATACGAATATGAAAATAAGATATCTTTATATGTTTCTATATGTATATAAATGTTCTTATATGTATGAATCACATTTGTATATATTTAAATAACGTCTTTATACATATTTAAATGTATTAAAACATTTTTTATACATATAAAAATGCATCAATATGCTTTTATACGTAATTATATGTATACATTATGTTTAATCACGTTTTAATGTATTTATATGAATACATTATATATAGAAATGCTTTTATATGTACAAAAAAATATAAATTTATATATTTGTATTTATATAAATGTGTTTTTTACAAAATAAATACATATATATATATATATATAATAATAATAATATTATTATTATTATTATTATTATTATAAAGGGTTCAAGTTAATCAGATCATATATATTAATTCAGTGATGTAGGTATCAAAAACTCTCCAGCTTGGGTGGTTAAGGGATTTGCCTTAATGTTTGGTAGGTCCCAATTTCTTTAGCAGCGCGTTTCTTTTTCTTATGAGCGTACCAGACTGATATGGCATGCTATGTCAGCTGCCATGTCTAGGGAGAGCAAAACCGGCTAAATGTACAAAAATGACAAAATCTTGCTAAATATAAGACATTAACAACATAAAAAACAACTTCGGTTAAATTGACAATTTCCTACAAACTTGAGGACTTTTGTGACATTAACTCATATCTCTCTATACTATAGTATAAAGTAAGCATTTTTTTTTCTTTTCACCACATGGATTTTAAACCCCAAAAGCCAAAACTCTTCATACTTCATTTTAATTTATACATTTTATTAATTTACATGTGTTATTAAATGTGAATGTGAAATATTTTCATATTAATGACATATTTTTTGAATTATGAATATAAATACTTAAAATATACAAATAAACGTGAAAGTATTCAAAGATTGTTTTTGAAAATAATTTAAAACATTTAAATATTTCAAATATAAAACATTTAAATATTTCAAATATAAAACCAAATCGGCATGTCGAGTAACTAAAAATACCAAAACTCAATTTTTTTTATAATAATGGATTTTTTTTTCAAATAAATGGTTTAAATCATAACCATTAATAATAATAATAGTTAAAAATAACACAACCTTATTAATTACATAACCATTAATAATAATAATAGTTAAAAATAACACAACCTTATTAATTACATTACATTATCTTACCAAAAAAAATATAAAAAAATAATTTTTAAATTAGTTAATCATAAATTAAAAACATAGATATGGTTGATTCGATGTAATAGATAGATAACCATTCATTACTTTGTGGTTACATTTAAATTTCTTTAAACGATATTGTTGAAACAAACCTTTTTTTTTTTTTTTTTTTGGTTATATAACTTTTATAATTAGAAAAATGTCAACTATAACTTTCTGTGGATTTAGTTGTTTTTTTTTTTTTTTTTTTGTGATGTTATGATGCATACCAATCTATCAAGAAGTATACAAAGTTAATATGTCGGGGTTGTATTTTGAAATAATAAGGTAAGCAATTCAATTAATGAAATAATAATGAATAAGTTAAAGTTTTATTTTGAAAAAAAAATAGGTCTAAAATAGAAAAACTGCAAAATGTTGGTGACATGTTAGTGTCTGAAATAACAAGTAACTTGTAAAGTTTGGGACTTTTTAAAAATAAAAAGGTTTTAGCTCTGAAAAGAAAAAAAAGTCAAAATATAATGTCTTTTATGGAAATAACTCATCTTAGAATAAACATATTTAAAGTTTGGGTTAATGTAATAAAAACCCTTATGTTTTCACAAAATATTCGGTTATACCCTTTTTAATATTTTAGGTTCCACTTGCTAGAAACTTTTTTGCATCTCTAATGTTGGAATATGATTTATAATGTAACATATAACATTGAACGATTTTAATTATTATTATTATTATTATTATTATTATTATTATTGTTATTGTTATTGTTATTATTATTATTATGACTTTATTATTATTATTATTATTATTATTATTATTTATTTTTATTATATATATATATATATATATATATATATAGTTTTAAAGCTAAAAAAAGTATGATTTTAAAGTTATAAATATATTTTAAAGGTATGTATATGTTTAAAAAAACGTGTTTATACATTTAAAAACATATTTATATATTAAAAGAAATATATTCATTTGTACTTAATAGATATAAATATGTAGTTATTTCATATAAAAACTACATATAAATAGGAAAATACATGTTAATATGGTTTGTTTTGTATACATATAAATATATAAATATGTTTTTAAATTGTATAAATACATATAAATATGTTTTTTATAAATATAACGTTTGTATTTGAAAAAATTCATATTTACATGATAAAATACACATATAATACGTATTTATACATAACGTTTTTTTATACATATTTATATATAACATCAACTAACTATAAAATATATTTTTAAACATATTTAAGTGTATAAAAAGTGGATTTTTATATATTTTAACATGTTTAAACATATTTAGCGTATTATATATGTATTTAATCATTTGGTTATGCATTTTTTTCAAATAAATATGTATATGTATAAAAAACAGTACTTATGTTTATTAGAAAAACATATAAAAACATATTTGTATACAATTTATACATATATATTAAGACGTATTTATACAATTTAGAAACATTTATATATTTATATATTTTAAAAACGTATTTGTTCATATTTATATGTATTTATATGTTTTGAAAATGTATAAATACATATAAAAATATATTTTATACATTTAAATATGTATTTATAATTATATGTATACTTTCATTAATAATAATAATAATAATTATAATTATAATTATATTCAAAATCTTTTCAACGTTATGCATTATATATCAAACGTCAATAGTAAAATAACAAAAAAATCCCCCCTAAGGCTATGTTTGGCGTACTAGCTGTTAGCTGAAAAGCTAGCTGATAGCTGAAAGTTAGCTGTTAAATAAAAAGCTAGCTGATAGCTGAAAAGCTAGCTGATAAAAAATAACGTTTGGTAAAACTAGCTGAAAAGCTAGCTGAAATATATAAAGTTACATAAAAGGACATATAGGAGGATGTGTTTCTATAATTAATTAAGGGGTGTATTTGGAAAATTTTTAAAAAGCTCTTAAAAAGCTAGTCTAAGTAGGTTTTCAAAAAGCTAGCTTAAATGCTACTTTTTGGCTTACCAAACACGACAACATAAAAAAGCTCGAAAAATAAACAAGCTTATCAGCTAGCTGTGGCGCGCCAAACACAGCCTAAATGCATCTATTTTTAAAATAATGGAAATGCCACCTCAACATCTATGTGGAGCTATATCAGCCCAATCAATGCCATGTTGCACGCTACATGTGTAGTTAACCCTCTACTAACCTAGTAACATCTTAAAAGGGTAAGAATGCAAAAATATATGCAAATTTGCGGTTTTAATGAACCTAAAATTTGAAAAATGATAAAACCGAATATTTAATGAAAACTTAAGGACTTTTATGACATTAAAGTTTTCGCCAATTTTCAAAGATCATGGTAAAAGAAGGGCGGAAAACCAAAGAAGTAGTTTTCAACAATTGGCAGAGCAATGGAGCTGGCAAATGAAGCCAAAAACACACGATGTAATGTTCAAAAACTCCAAATAAAGGATTAGTGGGCAGATAGCGGCCGGATATGATTTCTTGTCCGAAAAAGTTTAAAGAGAAATTAATGTAATGACCCGTATATTTTTGTGTTATTGTTAGGGTTCTTGCTTTTTATAACGTCTTTTCCTTTTTTGCCTCACTCTCCATGTATAAATCTTTATAATTTGTAGCAACTTTTTTGTGATTTGGTTTGATGCGAAATTATGTCTAATGAATAATTATTATAAATGTACTTTTTATGTTACTGAATTTATTTATTTGTTATTGATTTGGAATCTAACAAAACAATAGGTGTCCATATAAGGGTATCCATTTAATAAAATTTGATTACTTCTGTTGTATTATGTAATATGTTGTCTCCTGTTCCTCTCCTTTAGCTTCTTGCTTTTAGGTTGAGTGTTTTTATAATATACGGCCGTTTCCAAAAAAATTTAATAAAATTTGATATAAACTCTAAAAGCTTTCGAAATTAAGGGGTCCATGGACATCCTATATTTATGCGCCGATTCCACCTCCAATCAATCAATCATCCCCACCCCACCGATCTTTAACCGAACAATCTTTTTTTTTATACTGTTTTATTTCTTTCATTGTTGTCGAATGTAATGAAGTAGAACGACAAACATTCTTTCTCTTCAGTACAATAGATTAAGATAATGGTGTGATATGTTGCCATTTAAATTTAGAAATAAAACTACCTGTATTAAAAGACACATTAATCTTTACTATTCGATTCCTAGGATTGGATTGAAGAATAGAGATATTACTTGCGACTTTGTCAAATCTGGACGACCATACCCATCTCCATTAGAGTACATAAATTGTGCAATCCTAGCAAGGTTTGTAGCACCATTATTAAATTCCCTTGAAAATCGACACTTTGCACCTGCTCGTGCTTTATTAAGTTTCTTCCATGTCTTGATGATTAATAATTCAATATACGTTCTGGCTTCTTCTTCAGTTGCACCAGTCTCATGCATATAACATTGAATTGATTTTGGATTATCGCCTCTTGCAATCTCATCCTTAAATACATAAAAGAAGAAAAGTTTAAGCTTATTTATTTCTGTATAGCAATTGAAAATTTCACATAAAAAAAAAATACTAATATTGTTCTAAAATTATCCCGAAATGAAAGTATCTATTATGATTAACTAACAAAGCAATAATTACCGAGGATGTCCCCAAGTCATCAGCAAGTCGTAATATTAGGGATGAGTAGCGAACTATATTTTCAGCTCCTTCTATGCCTTGTAAGATTTCTTCTGTTGCACTGATTGATGTCAAAAAACTAAGATGCATGAGTATTACAGGAGCCCCTACCGATACATAACCATTCTCCAAGTACTCTTCTAGTGTTGGTGTATGTCCACTTTGGTACCACCGTGCTTCTACTATGTATGAGTTGCATAAATCTGCCCACTACAATGTTACCATTCCAGAATACAAAAATAAGATTCGAAAATCACACTATTAATAACCAAGAACGAATAGGATAATTTTATAGTTCAAGAAGATGGATTAATCTATTACTGTTTTCCTTAGGTAAGGAAGGATGAAGAATCCGGTTTGGGTCAATGCATTATATGAGATGTTGTTTATCGAGTTGTAAAATCCAAGAAAACATATCTTCATATAATCTGGGAGTTCATCCACCAAATTGATATCCCATCTACGAATTACAAACTTCTTTAAGATCATGTGAAATTTGTTCAAATTCTAGTTGATAAACTTGTAATTCCAAAGGATGAAAGAGTGGTTAACTAACAATTACCTGTTGATGGCATGGGTAAATCGATCAAGTTCATCCAAAGTACCATACACATCATAGACATCATCAAGAGTGGTTATTATGGCTCCAACCGTCAATAGAGTTTTCTTTTCCTCACTAAAGTGCGGTAGGTAATTGATCTCAACCAATCGGTCTCGGGCAAAACTTAACTTTTTTTCCCAACATATATTTCTCCACCATCTATACATTTCAGAAATTCTAGAAAATCATTTTATATGTAACAAGTCACAGTGAAAAAATTGACAAAAACGTTACCTTGATGAGTGTTTTAGATCTTCAAGGTGGATAGCTTGAACCATATTAAAATCCAATTTTGCTAGTTGGGCCAGGGTTGGATTCCTGCTATTTCTTTTTTCATACTCCTCAATGTACCATATTGCCTCTACCCTGGGTACTCTCCAGTGCAGTGGAAGCTCTAAAGCATGAGTTACTAATGATGATAAATTTTCAGGAATGTATTCAAAATTTTCTTTGAGATATATGGTTGTGAAGTCTCTAACATGGTCCAGAATGCTTTCATTCTCAAATGAATGATAAGAAGCTTCATACAAGTTCAGTATGCATATCATATCCTCGTATAAGTGTGGCTTAAAATTTTCAATCTGGTCCTTGAAGTTGCAAAATATCTCTATTTATATAGAAAAAAAGAAAATTAATGGAAAGTATTAGTTTGTGAGTCTGTCTTCCATGAAACTTGACATTTTTCAGATGCTGTACGTGGTAAAAGTACCTTCAGGGACATAATAACCATGTTGTCTCATTAATCTAAAACCAAGGGCTTTAAGATTGAGATTCATTGAATTCCACTTATCTTGAGCATGGTAGAAATTGTGATAAATCTTCTCCAAGAGATAACTTATTTCATCAAGAAAATGATATGCTATTCCAAGTCTCTGTAAATCATCAATAAGTTCAAGTGTAGTCAATGGCTTACGGACTTTGCCTATCAAGGCCTTCACTGCTTCCATCATACTATCTCTTCTTGACGTGTAATCATTTCCCTATGCATGCAGCTTAAATTTTTGAATAAACATTCAAAAAGAAAGTATGTTTAAAAGGGAAACGGTTAGATAAATACCTTATATTTGATAGAGAGTGACTGAATATGATCAAATGACAATAGAGATGGCACATAGTTTGCTGATCGTCTAACAAGGGGTTGAGTTGTTCTGGCTGAAACTGAATTGGATTGTGATGAATATAATGTCTTGCAAATATTAAAACCTTTCCTTTTGGCATAAGATTTTTTGTAAAATAGCAGAGTTGAACTGGAAAAGAAAGACACTAAAGCCAATGAGAAACACATATCTCAAAGCCAAGGACGACAATTGTATTGATGCACACTTTTTGCCGTCATTGTGAGCTATTTATAAGCCCATTGTTCATTTAACTTTATATATGGTCCAGTAGTCCACAAACGCCAAAATTATCTTGTTTCATTGTTTTCGTGGAGAATGATATCAACTATTGGGTTAACTTAATAAAAGCAATTAAGTTTTACACCCAATTTTTATTTGGCCCTAAATTAATTTTTAATAACGTTTTTACCAATAATTGGGAGACGCTTTTAATTCTGTTTCATCTGTGCTACATAATTGCACGTAGGCATGTTATTTGGGTCGGAACCGGACCGAACCGATCCGAACCCGAAAATCGAATAAGGGTAATTGCATGAACAGAAAACTGGACCAAATAACCAATACGAGTTCGGTTTGGTTATTACTCAAATAAACTGTACAGTATGCTTAAAGACCTAATATAACCGAAAAGAACCGAATAAACTGTATTAGAATTCTATAACCCGAATAACATTTACAATATGATTATAGACATCGTATTTTTTATGACTTTTGTAGCTTATGATTCCATAACAAATCTTATAAAGAAACAAATTTGTTAATTAAAAATAATGCAAAGTATAACACAATTGCTTCAAAGGTGCAAAAAAAGGTTAGAATTTGTGTAGTAAGAATGTAAACACGAATTAACTTTCTCGTTCAATGCATTAGTATACTCAATAAATGATTCATTCTTTACAAACTTGAACGGTATTTCTCCAACTACAAATAAGTTTAACATAGTATTTTTTATTCTTTTCTCATCATGTTTCCAGGTCCCAATACTATTCTCCTCGTTTTCTTACATGAGTTTCTTGACTTGGAACCAAATTTTTCATGACTAGATAAGATAGGAATTCATGAATCCTTAAAGACAAAGAAGGAATGGTCGATTTTTGAATATAAAGAGGAAGGATCGACACTCAATTTTTGAATAGAAATGATTTAGTAGGAAGTCGACTTCAATAATACGATTGAGTAGGATTGCGACTTCGGTGTTGCGATGCAATAGGTTTTTTTTTTTATTTAAATGTACGACTCATAGAAGGCGGGACAAGGAAAACAAGATGGAATCGATTGAATGTAGGTCATTCGGTGTAGCAAGAAAAATACGATTAAAAAATGACTTTTCAATTTCGGGCCGTGTATTTAGAACCGAGTAAGCCCTTATTTGGGTAACCTGGACCGAATAACTCGAGAACCGAATAAGCCTAATATAGATACCCGATAACCAAATCAAATTGCTTATTCGGGCATAATTCGGTTCGGATTTCAGGACCAAATTCCCATTCCTAATTGTAGTATGCAATTTTGTATTTTTTGGAGGAGCAGGAGAATATAAAGTAACTATTAACGATTTTAACGGTTTCACCATTTTTCGAATGGTAGAGAGAATTAGAAAGAAAGAGAGGAATAGGCGTGTAAAAAAGGGGATTCTAAATAAACCCGATTAAAAACCATTTTAAGAGTAACAATGGTTTTGACTTGTCTTAAGGCCGGACGGAGTGGAGCAGGAAAGGGGAGCGGGAGACCTTCCCTCACTTTGGAACACCACACCGTGGCTGAGGGGAGCTTCCCGCGAGAAAGAGGTGGGGGGAGGGGGTGCCGCACTCTCTCTCCTCATTCTATTGGACAGTTTTTTGTTTCTTTTTTTTTAAACCTTTTTAATATTTATAAAATTATATACCTACTAAAAAATATATCAAAATTCATGGTTTTTAATTCTCTACAAAATGAGTATAATATATGTATGAAATATATTTTTAAAAAAATATATAAAAAAAATAGTGATGGGAGCTTCCCACCCATTTCTTGGGTTTTAGGTGAGGGAAAGAAAAATGATGGAAAAAGTGGTGTGGCCCACAAAAAGTGAGGGAAACATCCATCCCACACCCTCCGGTCTAATCCAATATGATGGGACAAATGATGATTAATTTCACAGTGATAAGATTGGCATTAAATGTGGACATGATGTTGTCTTTATTGTCGTTAATAAAGTAAATAAATAAATAAATAAAATATCTAACTTATTTACGGTCCTTTATGAATTTATTAAAATTTTTATTTATGATCCTTTAACATATATTTAACTTTTAATTTACACATTCAACTATTAAATATTGGAATTGTCATATAATATCTCAATTTTATTTTGTATACTTATATAACCCAATTTAGTTTTTATCATTACATAATCAATTTTATTTTGTATAATATCTCAATTTTATTATAGGGATTTTCATATAATATTTCTGTCTTTAAAATTTTCTTTAAGTTTTAATATTAGCGATATCAACCGGCCAATGAACCTAACGAACATGAATAGAGATTTGTTAATATTATTTCATTTAACCTTAAACGAAAAATAACGATCACGAACAATTAAACGAACAATAAAAAACATAATACAATATTTTTTCACAACTATAATAAATAAAACTATCATTTTCATTTACCACCGTTTTGTCAAACACTGTAATGTTTTAATTTTATTAATTATCAGGAACATCAACTACATGAATATTACAATTATTACGTGGTGCATTTGGTGGAATATATGCATTAAGTCGAGCATTATACAATATTTTCTTCTTTAATGTAGATAATATATCTTTTGGTTTCACATTTTTTTATCAAATGTTCCACTAATCGGGTTTCATCTTCAGAAAGACGTCTTGGATATGAGTGACCTTCTAAATATAAGGCATGCTCGGGATTATGTATTTCACATATGGCTTTTAATGACCAATATTTATCTTTTAATGAATACGTGCGTTTTAGTGCAAATGGACAGTTTATTTTTTTGGTATCGATATTTTGTGTGGATGTTTTTTTTTTTACTTTTGTATGTACCGCTGCGATCACACTGAAAAAAAAATATTTAAGTTAGCAGGGGATCTTTTTATTACAATAACATAACCAAGTCCACGCCTCGTGGTTTGCACCTAGTCTATTAGTTGTTGACGAGAATTAAATACCTAAAAAATATTTTTTTTGACTAGATACAAGTAAACTTATTGATTAATAACCATATTAATAAATCTAAAACTTTATACCATGCTAGTTTCAAATTCTGATGTCACTGATGAAGTAAGTATTTTCATTCTCGTCATCTTGAGATGCATTGCTTGGTTAAATATCTTTAGCCTAATCAATACATACAAATAAGAATATGTGATTTATAAAAACATAAATATATGAATAATAATAAACGAATATACCTCGTAATTTAACTCATCAAACGATCGCAAATATTTTTGCCAACTCATTTTTTTACTTAGCTTATCGTTTTTCAAAAAATATCGTACAATGAAAATGAAGTTTGGGACACATTCATTTATACTAAAACTTTAGGTATGAAAAGGAATACTATATAAATTATAGGGTAAGTTAAATGACCATATATGTAAATATACTTATATTATTTTGATTTGATCGTAGTGTATTCATTTACATCGCACTGAAATAAAGATAATGTATTTATTGTAAATACATGGTAAGTTAAAATACCATAAATGTAAATATAATTATATTATTTTGATTTAATCGTATTGGTATTCATTTACACCGCAGTGAAATAAAGATAGAGTATTTATTGTAAATATAGAGTAAGTTAAAGGAACATAAATATAAATATAGTTATATTATTTTGATTTAATTGTATTCATTTACACCTCATTGAAATAAAGATATGGTGTTTATTGTAAATGCAGGGTAATTTAAAGGACCATAAATGTAAATATAGTTAGATTATTTTGATTTAATCGTATCGGTATTCATTTACACCGCACTGAAATAAAGATATTATATTTATTGTAAATGTAGGGTAAGATAAAGGACGATAAACGTAAATATAGTTATATTATTTTGATTTGATCGTAATATATTCATTTACACCGCACAAAAATAAAGATATGATATTTATTGTAAATGCGGGGTAAGTTAAACGACCATAGTCATATTTTAATTTTATTAACTTAAAGGACTATAATGTACAAATAGTTATATTATTTTTATTTGGTCGTAAACATAGTCATATTTTAATTTTATTATAAAGGCGCTTATATTAGCAATAAAATATGTAATATTATGACACATGTGCATGTTCACCGTTCTAAAAAAACTTGAAAACTTTTTAATAAGTTATTTTTAGTATACTCATTTAAAACCTATTAGTTTTGCCTAATATGGTTA